CTACTTAAGTTTTATATATAGATTTTAAGACTTAAATAATCTTAAATCTGTTTTCTAATTAAAAGTTTGATTTAAATATATATACATCATATATTATAAAGAAATATTTTTTATTTATGAATTTTAATACTATTTGAAAATCAAACTCTTTAGCGAAATAAATATACTTTGATATTCGATAAGTATTCGTGAATATTCATGAATATTTATCAAATACCAAGTATTCGAGTTCGAATTCGAAAAACTAGATATATGAATATTAGAGTCCGCATTCGAATTCGATAATTTTAAACAAATACAAATATGAACACCTTAATATTCGATTTGATTCGATCATTTACCACCCCTACATGCGACAGAAAAAAAAAGCACGGGACAGAAAAAAAGCAGGCACATACACACCCAAAAAAACCCCATGACTACTTTACAATGAATATGTAATATTCTTTGTTTGCGAGCTCATGGTATGGACTTAATTATGCTGTTATATGTCTTAAGTGAAAAAATCAAAACGATTAATTGTTTTCCAGGAATTCCTCAAATTTACTGGGCATTCATGGAGAAAGTTCCAGATTTTGGGGGTTTAGTGAAATTTACTTTACTAGTATAAAAAATAAAGGACAAAGAAGGGTGAGGTCTGATTTTAGCCAAGTTATTATGACCTTTTTCATCTATAAGCAAGCTACATGATCTTGTTATATAACCCTTGAACTTCACATCCCACCTTATTGTTCACCGCTTTACATTCATTATAAATTGATGTATATAATTTTACAAATCTTCTAGTTTCTTACAAAATATAAAGAAGAAACAACTCCACACTCACACATTATTAGGTAATACATTTTAAGATAAACTTTAAACCCCCCACAACTCCCACCCCCACACCCCCTCAACCCAAAAAAAAAGGCCAGATAATCCCTTTAAACTTTAGAAATGCAATGACACACATTGACTAGCGACGCTAGATTATTTAAACATGCACATGATATTTAAACATGCACATGAAAATCACTAGGTTCAACTGACCAAAATATTACTAATGAAAAACTCTTTTGACATCCTTTTTCTAATAATTTTAAATGCAATATTCAAAAAATAAAATCCACAAAATCGGTCTAAATTTGGTTCAATTTTAAGAATAATATATTGCAGTCCTGATTAATTAATTTAATTTGATAAATAGACTGCTACTTTTAAAAAAGGTCACTTAAATCTTTTTACCAATTCTTCAAAAGTAGTTAGGGAGGTTAGTAGTTAGGGAGGTTAGTTGAAAATTTTGAAAATGTATGAGGACTTTTCTAATACACATCAAACTTAAGGAGAGTTAGGTGAAAATTAAAGTTTAGGGGGTTATATTAAAATCAGCCAAACTTATAGGGGGTTTGCAAAATGTGCCCAACAAAATATGTGCCAAAAATCTCACTCTATAATAATATTCCACAAGGTGTTAGTAAGCGTGTTACAATATTGCACGAGCATTTCTTTATTGTTAAAGACTAAAATAAATAAACGAACAAATATATACTTACTATTAGAAAACCCTCACGAACTTATGGGGTGTTTGGCAATCTGAAAGTGAATTTAAAATATGTAAGTTACTTTTTTTTACAAATGACTTTTACATCCATGTCAGTACGCAAGTGAAATACAGTGTTTGTTTGAAAAATTAAATTATTATCGAAAGTGCAATGTGAAGATGACGTGGCAAAATAAGATTAATTAGAAAATATAATTAAAATCATTTAATTAAATTACTTACCTTTTTGTCACTTTCATGTGACTTCACCACTTTTTTAGGGGAAGTCAAAATTGCATTAAATCTTATGTGGCAACTTTCTTACATCTCACTTTCATAACCACTTACATGAAAACAAACACCTTAATTGTTAAATAAAAGTAACTTTCTCACTTTCAATATATTATTAAATAGTATTCTTTTATATTAAATATTTGTAGTGAATAATTCTAACTATTTTGATAGTGAAAATATGTATTTTTATATCCAGTTATAATTTGTAAAAGAATACTAATAAGTATTACAATATGACAGCTATTCGTTTCACTACAAATGCAAATTTTTTAATAAGTTTAATTGTATAAAAGTATCACTTTCAGATAATGGGGTTATTGGTTGGGACAAATTGGGACCAAGCAGAAAAATTATTCCAATGGAATAATTTTACTCCTTTGGGATATTTTGAGTGCAGTAAAGTGGGATAATGGGATAATTTGAGCCTTTGATTTGATAATTCATATGGGATAATTGATGATGTGACACCTTATTAAAATATAATTTTATCTATTAATTATTTCTAAATTAACTTATCCAATTGGTTTAGTATATTATTTAGTATATTATTATAATATAAATATTATTTTACTTTATATTAAAATAAAATATATTGTACTATACTTACAAATTACTATTATTAATTATTATTAATTATTATATTATATTATATTATATTAGCATACTATACATAATTAATATAATATAATATCAATATATTTAATATAATATTTAATATAATATTTAATATAATATATTATTTTATTTATACAAAAATATAATATGTTATACAATAATTACTAATTACTATTATATTAGTATGCTACATTATATAATAATTGATATAATATATGAATAATATATATAATATAATACTTTAATAATATATTATTTAATTTAATATATTATAATATGTAATTCATAGGGAATAATGTACTTTATAAAATATTATAATATTTTACTTTATTCAACTGTAATATTTCTAATTTTATATAAAATTAATATATATATATATATATATAATACTAATATATATATATATTATATATATATATACCCATATTGCCTCTATAGAGCAAAATAGGGGTATCTTGCTACCAAGCGACAAATTGTGTGCCTTGGTAGCTGATGTGTCACATCCTCAATCCGACTCACTATCTCATGTGTGGGGAATGCTGGTCCCATATTTGAATGAATGGTAGGATGTGACACATCACTACCAAGCCACAACTTTTTTGATGCTTGTACCAGCATACGCATAATTGCCCGCTATATATATATATATATATATATATATATAATATACTATATATACTGATATATTATATATTACATGATAATTTACAATTATTAAAAGGTATCATGTTATAGTTAATATATTTATTTTAATTATTTTTTCCAAAAAACTATAGGATTATATTATATTATATCATAATATTTTACTAATATTAGAATATTATTATATGTTATATTATAATGGTAATGTCATATATATAATAACTTACAATAATATTTTACAAAGTAATTATATAATAATCATATGTATTAAAATATTATAAATATTATAATAAATACTTATGTATAATTACTAATTAATATTATATAATAATATATTACATAATACTATTAATATATGTTATTAAAATATTAAAATATGTTATTATATAATATTATTAAATTATGTTATTAAAATATTAATATATGTTACTTAAATATTATATAATATTATAATAAATACGTTATACTATAATTACTAATTAATATTATATAATAATATATTATATAATATTATTAATATATGTTTTTACAATATTATATAATATTATAATGAATACGTTATACTATAATTACTATTATATGATATTATTAATATATGTTATTAAATTATATTATTAAAATATTAATATATGTTATATTTTATATATCATGTCACATATTTATAATATAATTGTATGTATTAGTTGAGTAATACAAAAATATTTTAAAATTATCCCAATTGCCTTCAAAGTGGAACAACATTGTTCCAATATGGAGGATGGGGTAAATTTTTACTATTGGGATAAAATTTTTGTATATGAGTGGGGTAATTTTATCCCAAGTGGTGTAATTGTCTCACTAGTGTTCCAAAAAACCAATAACACAAAAAGGTATTATCCTTGTTACATTGTCCCAATGAATAACACTATGAAATAGAATCTCCAAAATTATCTCATTATCCTCCAAAATATCCCAACCAATAACCCCCCCTTAGAGAGACCGTAGTAAAAACAACATACATCCAATTTATTTTTCTAACTACAACCCTAAAAAGTTACTCATCCAAACGTATAGCTAAAAATTTAACTGTTTCCAAACATACAGCTGAAAATTCTCATGAAAGAGTGCAAATTTTATCAGAAAAACACCATACAGCTAAGGTTGAATTGAACCATAAAGAGAAGAACCAAAATTTACAAATTACATCAACTGTGAGTGGGACGCCCTGAAATTTGTACTCGCCTCGTTCTCTAAATTTTCCTTATCGCACTTGCCATTTTCACACGGATGAAACCCGTGCATTGCCCGTTTACAGTAGAGTTAACATTCCTCGGGCACGCACCTAACCGCTAAATAGAAGTCATCAACCGCCATAACTACCGATAAGACAGGCTGAAGGGCAATTTCGTCAACTACAAAAACATGGGGTATTTTAGTAATAGTATCATCACGTGACGATGGGTCTTTCGTAGAAGCGGCGCTTCACGGATTTAATTATCCAAAATAAGACGACTCAATTACAAAATGACCCAGAAATTAACCCAACTTGTCTAATTGTGAGTTGGGGGTCCTCTTTCTGGTTCCTATTTTGGGTTGAGGAAGCCCCAGCTGTACCTTTTCTGGTCGAAGGAATCAAAGACAACGAGCGAGAGAGTGGGCGTTGTCTAAAATCGTAGTCATCACGATCTCCCAAAAGAATCCCTTCCCTTTTCTTTTTTTCTTTTTTTGCATTTGAAGTCTGATTTTGCCGGTCATTTTTCGATCTAATTCCAAGCCCTAGGATTCCTCGATCGGTGTTTTGGCGGCAGTTTCTGCTAGATCCAAGAGTCGCGATCTCTTTGCTTGTTTGATCCTTTATTTCTGATATCTGCCGCTGCGTTTCTGCACTTGAAGATCGGGAAAAGATTAGGTAAGAGTTATTTTTTTCCCATTTTTTTTGTAAAATTAGAAATTTTGGGTAAACTTTTCATTGATTTTGGTTAGTTATGATACCAGAGATCTTTAAAAGATGCTAAGTATTTGGGGAAATATCGGAATGCCACGGAGCAGTGGGCTTGATTTCTTATTTTAGCAGATTCTGTTCTGTATCTGATGGCTGAGAATTTTGTTTTTCTAGTTTACTCTTGAGTCCTTATCTTAAGTGAAAATGAAAATTCGTTGCGTCAGTCTCTAATAATTTGAGATTTATACTGAAATACCAGTGTTGCTTGGAATAATTTTATTATTTTCTGTATCAATGTTTTGTGCATTTTCAACTTTTTGGGTGTTTTGGATCTGAAAATAAATATTACTGGAAATAAAAGATTTGGATGTCAGCTTTTGACTGCGGAAGTCATGGCCGCCCGCTGTTTTCTTATAATCCATGTGGCAAATTTCACATGTAGCTTAACTTCGGTGCAAATTAAATTTTGATAAACAAATTGAATGCAAAGGTAAAGAGTCTACTACTAATCAGTTTCATATGGCAAAATAAAACCTCTTAAAGTTAAATCATTTATAAAATTACTTTTTTTTCTTTAAGAATTTGGAGTTGACCATACTATTTACTAATTCCAAGGTCACCCGTGATAGTAACATGTGTTTTGACCTTTTCTTCCATTCAAATGAAGAACAAATCAACAAATTTTCAGCCAACAGAACTTGGTCTAGTTCTTTTCTCAGGTCTTTGGATGGGGTGGAAGGAAACCCTGATGCTAAAGTTGTAGCAGCATTAAGGAGATGAAAGGAGTATCTTGGGGATTGATAATTGGGGTAACAGTTGGGGTGGTAATAGGACTGCTTTTAGCCACAGCAGCTTTGTTCTGCTTTAGACTCCGGAAGAGGCGAGCTCAGATAGGCAACAGTAGCTCAAGAAGGGCTTCGACAATTCCAATCCGAACAAATGGTATTGATACTTGCACAATTCTTTCAGACTCGACCACTGGTCAGGAATCACCCAAAGCTTCAGAGACTAATGGTGGGTCTTTGTGGCTTGATGGACCTAAGAAAAAGAGTGTTGTCTCTGTTTCTGGCATACCAAGATATCCTTACAAGTAATTTCTTTGCCATCCTCTTCATTTAAGTTTTGTTCTTACAATAACAAATTTCCACTGCTTACGAGAAACATATTTGATATGAACGTTTTTATTTTGCTATAAATCTTGATTCCTACGGTTGTAGTTCTACAACATTCTGTATGTTTCTTTAACTGTTTGCAATAGTAATTTTTTATTATATCCTTTATGCATACGTGTAAAATGCGATGACTATATAAGATTTTCCCCTGCCTTCTGATTGGTCCTTTGTTGAAGAGCTCAATTAAATTCATGGACACCTGCATAGAATTTGACATCCTTCTTGTTGATTTTTAGTGTATGATGCAAAGCCAACTGGCTCTTGTCTAGTTTTTTGCAAGTTGGGATTGCTTCAAATCTAGATTAATTGAGGAATGAGATATTTGTTGTCAAATGCTGTAGATAATTAGCTACCAAATACTGCAGTACCCTCTAAATGCAAATTTAATCTTAGTTCCTGATGGAAGAAAATAAATACCAAGCATAGGGAAAGGACAGGTGGGTTTCGATGTAGTGAATTCAATACTTAACCCAATTAAGGTTGTAATATATGCCTCTTCTTGTGTTAGTCTCTTTGTTGCACTCTTCATTCACACCTAATACCAAATCTATGAAGTAATGAGTTTGTCGTATAAGATCTCTTGCTTCTGCTACCTCCCCTTTGTAGGGACAATTCCAATGTCACTTCCTTTCAAATTTAGAGCTCCATGGGAGTAACATTGTAACATGATCCAAGAAAGAATCATATTCCCTGTCCTCAGATAAAACTTGTGTAGCTTTTCATGAAGGATTCTTAATTGGTTCGGCGGCTTCCAAGACGATCATTATGGCTATTTTGAGTACATAATTCGTAACGAACTTTTCCAGTGATACCTATATATTTAAGTGCCACACGCTGACATCCTCTTTTATGTTCATCAATCTGTATATTACTGTTCTTGTGATAGTTGGTTTGCTAACTTTATTAGTTACGACCCTACCATCAAAAACCTTAGCTTACACTATGCTAATCCTAAGATTCCTAACCAAACTAAAATCCCTACCTATAACACTTTAGGCTGCTCAAGAATACTTTTGCTCCTGAATTTGATGTTTCTTTGTAGCTGTAGTGTACAATGAACCCCTTTTATCCTACTGTGTAAGCTCTAAAATTGGTAGAAGCTTCATTTTGTATTCACTTCTTCTGATGGTAACTTGTAGCGTTGTATTTTCAGGGATTTGCAGAAAGCTACCAGTAATTTTACGACAGTTGTAGGTGAAGGGGCATTTGGTCCTGTTTATAAAGCTCAAATGTCGACTGGTGAAACAGTTGCTGTTAAAGTGCTTGCTACTGATTCTAAACAGGGGGAGAAGGAGTTCCAAACAGAGGTGCTGCGTCTGGGCTAGATTCCATTACTGAAATCACTTCCCTTTTCTTTCCGATCAGCATGAGTTCTTCCTAGAAAGAATATCGGTTGCTATAATATCAAGGAACAGATATCTATACTTTCAGGAAACTAGTAGAAACATATTTGAATGTTTATGTCAATCTCACACCCTAAAATGTTCTGCAATTGTTGACAGACAATTACTTAGTTTTGACTATGACCAGTACATAAGAATAAATTTGTTCTGAAGCATAATATGCACAAATATCAGGCAATAGTTTTGTGGTCTGAACTATTAAAATATACTTCAGGAATTGGCAAACTGATATGTATTGCATCTATCTACAAAGTTTTTGTCAGCTCCTAACTCAAGATTATTGGTATATATTTGGTGAAGCGAAAGGGGAGCTCTTTAGTCTCAGTTGTGAGTTTTTGATTTTCAATGCGCTAGGAAAAAAATTATCTTTCATTATATAGACCAGCAATTGATCTTTATTCCATGGTAGCTGAGCGTAAATATTTTAGGTAGCGTATGACCTCATAGCTTTCTAATGGTTTCCTATACTTGAAAAATAGTATATCCCTATTTTTGAACTTTCGATGTGAATATCATTAAGATTGCATTCTATGCTGTGTTCATCTTATTATTTTAAAGAAATACAAAGAAGATTTATGCATTTTCTGATCCCTTTTCTTCTATTATTTGTTATACTGCCATCTTTAAAGTGAGACTACTGTAAGTGATCCTTGTAGAAGGAATTTTTTCAGTCTAATTTCCTTGCTTTCAGGTCCTACTTCTTGGGAGGTTGCATCACAGGAACCTTGTTAATTTGGTGGGATACTGTGCAGAAAAGGGCCAGCATATGTTAATCTATGTATATATGCCTAACGGCTGTCTGTCTTCCCACTTGTATAGTAAGTATAATTGGATAACGGACCTTGTACCTTGCGTTTCGGTCGTACTGTTTTAGAATCTTTTGTATGTTAAAAAAATTGTTCCTGAATATTTTGAAATCATTTATGCGCTTAAAATTTTGTTCATGGTTTTATTACATGCAATTAGGCTAGTTTGATAGCTCTATCTATCACAATATTTGTTTTATCTCTGTCATTTTCTACTGTTAACTCATCCAACAGGATAGCTTGGTGTATTCTTTTAGCGCATAGATGAAAATGTTAGCTTTTGTTTTTCCTGGTTCACAACTTCTTTATTATGGCTATAGGTGAAAAATATGGACCGTTGAGCTGGAATCTGAGGATCCATATAGCTCTGGATGTTGCAAGAGGCTTGGAGTACCTCCACGATGGCGTATGCTACTCTTAATACAGAAAATTAATTGATTCATCATAATATCTTCTAAAATAGGAAGTGCTTCATGCTTTGAAATATTTTTGCTTCTTAATGCAGGCAGTTCCTCCTGTAGTCCATCGGGACATCAAATCCTCAAATATATTGTTGGATAAGTCCATGAAAGCCAGAGTATGTATCTTGTTGACATGGTTCTGAGTTTTTCATTCTTTCATAAATAGTTCTACTTACTATTTGAGTATTTGGGGCAGAGATCGGTTCAACTTCCCCATGTTTGCTAGAGGTATAAAAAAGTCTCCTGCAGACAGCATTTGTGTGCTCAAGATCATATGATTCTGCCCATGCTAATTTTTTATTGTGTAATGTGTTCTTCAAGCTCCATAGGAACCCATGCTCATAATAGGTGGGGTGGGAACATGTAATTCATTTGATGACCCTAGTAGTCCATGAAATCGTAGGGTTGCGTGATTCACCGGAAAAGGGAATGATAGATACGTTTTTTTTTGTTTTTTTTTTGTATAAAGGGATTATTAGTTACTCGTTGAATTTCTTCGAGGCATTTCCCATTAAGTAATTTATACAAGTCGCTAGTCTTCCTTCCATGGAATTTTCCATAATTCATATGATTTCCAAGATACGGAATGAGAAAATTGTTAAGCTTGGTGAAAACATATCTGTCTCGATAATCTTATGTTCATCATATATTGTGAGCACTTGGGTCAATCACTTTACACAGCTCGCTTGTTATAAAGAATTTAAGAACATGAGAATCCGTTATTGTACAAATGAACAGAAAAATCTACAGTTTTTTTAGTGTTCTTACTTATGACAACTATGACAACCATTTAATTTAACAGGTTGCAGATTTTGGACTTTCAAGGGAGGTCAGTCACGATGCATCAAATATCAGGGGAACCTTTGGCTATCTGGATCCCGAATATGTATCGTCAAGGTCCTTCACCAAGAAAAGTGATGTGTACAGCTTTGGAGTTTTGCTTTTTGAGTTGATTGCTGCCCGCAATCCACAGCAGGGTCTCATGGAATATGTTGAACTTGTAAGATCTCTCTATCACTGGACATTTTTTCCCTTAAATTTGTTCTCATCTATGTTACCTTTGTAAACAAAAGCTCAAGCTTATTAATCAGGAACCAATGACTTGGGCTTAAGATTTTCAAGCACAAACCCTGTTCGTATCAGCTTTGGTTTGGGTTCTGGTTAGACTGGCCAAACCCAGTTCCATTTTTCAGACCTCCTTGCAATCAAAGATAAAGTTTCAAATTTGTTACAGGCTGGTAGAGGTACATTTCAAGTCTGAGTACAATATATATACATGATAACGGAAGATGGACTGAGCAAAACTCCATAACCTTATATTTGAAGTTTGATGAATTCATGTGTAAAAGGCATGGGGCTTCAAACTTCGGCTTTAACCCATGTGTGCCATATTGTGGACTCTGAGACTTGTCTGACTCTCTCGAAATGTATTAAACACATGGAAAACATGGTAGCATCCGAAGGAGGGAAATGTGTCAGCTGCTATCAGCTGCAATTCTCAGAAAAGTGCATGTCTTGAAATATGTCCAAACAGTTTTAGACATCTCCCCAAAACACTGGCAATAATGATAATTGTTGTCATATTAATTCTTGTCAATAGAGGTTTCATGGGTAGTACTCATACTGAATTCCTTTTGAAAGTCCTGCTTTGCTTCTTTGTTTCTTAATTGTTAATTGCTAGATAACATGATTTTTAATTGTTAGGCGGCAATAAATGCTGAGGGAAAGACTGGGTGGGAGGAGATTGTGGATTCCCGGCTTGAAGGCAACTATGACATAAACGAGCTCGATGGTATGGCCAATCTGGCATACAAATGCGTCAACAAACTTTCCAGAAAAAGACCATCCATGAGGGACGTAGTTCAAGCACTTTCCGTAATTGCTAAGGAGAATCATAGTAAGAAGAGGCAGAGCCGACAGTTCTTGCAAATTACAATAGAGGAAGGATCTACAGATAATGAACACTTGGGTACCCTAAACTCAATCCCAAAACACCAACGTGAGGATTCTATGGATAGCTTGTCAGATTTGCCTGATGTTTAACTAGGTTCTGTACATTTTTTAGTGAATGAGGGATGTGTTACCCTCTATATATGTGGCACGTTGCTGACTTGGCACAAATCCAAGCCATCATCAGTTTGTATTCTTTGGATAGTTTGTTAGATTTTATTTATTTTCTTTTAATTCTGGAAATGTATTCTTTGTTTTTGTTGATTCTATAGTTGTAGTTCCGCTTCAAGCTAGAGATTAGTAATTTTGAGGGTGATGGGCGGGGACTGGAGAGTGTACTGGTCTTTATTGCAATGTAAGTTCCGTTTTGTAGCTATACTTGTTATCGAAAGAAATTTGTAAGAAGGTTCCTTAGCCTTTTTTTTTCATATTAAACTTGCAAGTATGAAATCTACAAATGAGTTGTCTATTGTTTGATGCGTATGCTCGTATAGATTATTTCTAAGGGTGTGTTTGGTAATCAATGTGTTTTTTTTTAAAGAACATCATGCCTAGGTGTTTTTTTTCAAATATGTTTTAAAAACACCATTTTGGTCAAACTAGTTTGACACCATTATATAGCGGCAGTGGGCGGGCGGCGGACGGCGGCGGTCAGGTGTACGCGGGTGGCTGGCGACGGACCCCCGGCCGGCGGTTCAGGTGGCGGGGTGGCTGGCGACCGTTTGGGCTACCAGCGGGTAGCCGGCGATGTGGTCGGCAGCCGGCCAAAGCGACGCGAGTGCGGCGACGGTGCTTGGCAGGTGTCGTCGGTGGTCGGAGGTCGGTGTGGCGGATCGACGGCGCTGCGGGCGGCAAGGGTAGCGGCGGTGCGCCGGCTGTAGGTGATCGGCCGATGGTCAGCGGGCGGCGCGTGTGCCGACGGGCGGCTACTGGTGGCGGCGTGGCGCATGGCAGGCCGCGGCCAGTCGAGTGGGATGGTGGCCCGCCGCGCCGGCCGATAGCGCGGTTTGTGCGCCGACGACGGTTGGGGCGGGTGCGTCGGCTGTGCCAAGGCGGCAGCGGGCGACGGACCGACGGCGGCGTGGCCGGCCAAACGGACCTGCGCAGCGGGTGCCGTGCGGCTGTGTGCCGGCAGGCGCGGCTGTCGGGCACCGACAGGCGGGTGTAGGCGGTGGGTGGAGGGTTGGGCGGGCGACCGACTGCGCGGGCGGGCAGCGGCGGGCCGGGGAGCGGCGGTCTCGGCTGCGCGACTGTGCATCCGTAACCGGCCCCGGTGGTGCGCCGGCATCGGCCGGCGATTCTGGTGGCGGCAGGCCGAACGCGACGGGGTAGCGACGCGGTCGGTGCGCGCGGCGGCTTAGATGAAAAAACGGAATCTCAAAACACATTTTTGGTGTTTTGGGAAAAGTGTTTAATTTTTAGATTTTGTAAATGGACGAGTCAAAAAAAACGCCCCGGTTACCAAACACGTTTCTTTGTTTTTGTTGGAAACAAAACAGAAACGACAAAAACGTCACGGTTGCCAAACGCTTCCTAAGCGTTCTCATGTGTGACGTAATGTCATTTTTTTTCTCTTCTTTTTGTTGAAGGTATCTGTTATGTATCATTTGTCCTTCATGTTCTTGTCCTAGGAGCATATAGTTTGTATGTAAAGGTGTTTTTGCCAAGTTTGTATGTAAAGGTGTTCTTGTCGTAGGAAAAGAAATATAAGATCTCCACATCTCCAAGTTGTTTCAAGAGCAACATTCATTTACTCTGGCAATATAAACCAACATTTGGATATGATAATACCTTACATTAGATTCAAGATAATCATTAAACTCAACGTCATATGCCAAAGTCCCTCACAGGAAAAGACAACTAGTATTTCATCTAAAGTTTTCTTGAGCCGAGAATTATTTCACTTATTTCTGATACCCAAAGCACTTAGTTTGGTAGTAGTCCTGCAGTCTTCACATATTCAACGGAATCTTCATAAATTGTTCCTAGATCTTTCTTCTCGAACTTGAACCCTTCTCTGATAAGCTTTGCCGATGAAAGACTCAATCTTGCTTTCTTCGGTACATCAGTGAAACTGCAAGGAAAATGCAAGGAAATTCATAATGCAACAATCTGTTACAGAAATATTCATAAAACTGAACCAAATTATTAATAGGGTAATTGAAGATAGACATTACGTACTATGGGGGTTAGCCACTTATATCCACTAAATAATTTTATTAGCATTTGCTTTCCAAATTAGAAATGACGGTATTTCTCCGATTAAGCTGTCACATGAGAATCATAAGGTGATAAAGCATTTTCTTACCCTCATTCTTAACTGAGAACAAAACTAAATTTCTTTCTAAACTATAGGGAGGAGAAAATCAATTTAACAGCACATGATTCCACTGTGACATCTCAACTTAACATTGAAATAACACCATCCAAAATTCATGAATATAATTGCAAATAAACTAGTTTAGAAATGTAATTGTTCCCCCATAATGCGAGTAGTGTATCTGCACGTAACCCTGAAGATAATATCATAATTTTGAACTTATACTTATTTATAAATGACTACATTGCAAACGAAAAAAGAGTTTGTACTCACTTAGTAGGCACATTGTACTGTGGATATCTCTTTGAAAGGAACTCTGCAAGCTCTGGCAAACTAGTATTAATAGCACAACAAATATAACGTCCAAAAGCGGATTCGTTCTCAGCAACAAATATCTCAGCCCTGCTCACATCCTCAACATGTGTAAATGATATCGAACCTGAGAGCATTTGTATTGTCTTTAATCCACCAACTCGAGCATCATCTCCTGTGAAATTTACAAGAAAAAAATAGATCTACATTTGTACATAATTGGGATATTTTGGTTCGTCATAATTGTAAGGATTACAACAACTCTTTGTTTCGTTTCAAATAATAAATAGTAAATATAGTTATAACTGCAGTCGCAAAAAGGCCTCTAGTCACATTCAAAGTGACTTGTGCAGATTTGAATATAAGTTGCAACAGTAAATCTTTTGAGGTATAGATGGGGTTCAATAATATAGAGTACTGTACTTCTGATCATCAGATGTATAAACAGAGATTTCCGGTCCTGACAACCCCAAAATAAACACATACAACTACACCTACGACTGTAATTTCTGAATTTTTATTACTAAACCAAATGTTGCAACTAAAAATGCATGTGACAATAGTTATAGCAAGTATACTTCTGTATAACTGACACTTGCATCACAACAAAGCGAACAATAACGTGTACTCACCAGTGAGAAGGGATAACCCTATTGCTAAGCTTGGAGGAATATCTCCATTTAGTGCAGGGCCAACAATTAGAGGAGGGATTATGCTGACTAGCTCAAGCTTATTCTGTTCTGCAAACTTCCATGCTTCCTTCTCCGCAAGTGTTTTTGACATTAGGTACCCCTGCAAATTGCCAATTTTTGATTCAACATCAGGACATATTTTGATTGTATATCAAAGCTTATACAAGTTTGTTCTAGAAATTATACCCAAGTAGGGGGCTTATCAGTGGTTAGAAACTCAATATCTGACCAAGATTCTTCGTTCAGTACAAAGCCTGCTCCTTGAAGATTGCTAGCGGATACAGTGGCAGCTGAAGAGGTGAGGATTACTCTCTTGACTGTATTAGATTTGATGCAAGATTTCAATACATTCAAGGTTCCTTGAATTGCAGGCTTGATTAATTCATTCTGTAAAAAAAGAAAAAAGGATAATTTCAGAAAAAATATTATAAATTTGGAAGGATTTAACGAGACAATATACTTAAGATCTTTATTTGAGAAAATTCTCATCAACTTTTTTCCATTAAACTACATAACTAACCGTTGTTACAGAAAGTTATGACGTGTAAAGTACACAACTTTTTGTACGTTTTTTTCTCGTAAATTAGTTTATTATAGCTACTTCTCTCTCAGATTTACAGTTTCTTCTCAAGTATAAATAGAGGTATTTTAGCCTTTTTATCTACACCATTATGCCGATTTATGCTAGTTTAGATATTTTTCTGCAAACCCTGATTGTTCATGATCGCCTTTTAATATCTATCTCGATAGGTATATGCTACGAACAGTCATTAACTAATAGAGAGTTTGTAGAAAACCATAATAAACTACTTTAAGTAGAGAAACATATCGCCAACTTTCAAACTGCAGGAAAATACCACATACAATCAGAAAATTTCCCTGACGTGTTAGTTGTGCTATTGAAAAAGTAAAAGTCAAAATACCCTCAATAGTTAGGAGGAGAGAATGTTTATTATGTACCTCTGGGTCACTAGAGAACAGGTTCACAGGTGTGGCAACATGAAAGACATAATAGCAGCCACTGACGGCTTCATCAAAGCTTCCATCTTCAGTCAACTCTGCTTGGAAAAGCCTGAGAGTGCCTAGCTCTTGTAGCTTGCTAAGGTGAGAGACCTTTGATTTGTTGCCTGTACAATTTTCAGGAACTTAAACATCAGAAATAATAACTGACTATAATAAGAAGGCATGCTCGAGTTTCACAAAAAGCGAAAAAAATTCGGAAAACCCCCTGACTGGACAGAAAATAACACACCAGGATCGCGGACAGTGGCATTGACAACATATCCCTTCTCAAGGAGTTGTTTGATCAATGTTGAAGCAAGGAAGCCATTTCCACCGGTAACACAAGCTACTTTCGCAATTTCAGCCATTTTTTCCAAATAATTTCAAATTGTAAGCTTTCATATATCCAAGACTGGTCTCTATTTGAAAATACACTTGCACTAGTACATAAATATGATCTCAAGAACTAATATTCAACCCTAATCTAGTTAGGTGGAAAATATACTTGTACATATATATGATCTAAAGAACTAATATTCAACCCGAATCCTGTTAGGTGGTCATGTGCCATCTAGTGAACTAAGATTCAACCCTAATCTAGTTAGGTGATCATATGTCATCTAGTAATTAGATGATTATGTGATGTAGATGGTTGTAAATGATAAATGTTTATATATAGGTGAAACATTTATTACTTATAGTTATTATGGGGAAAATATCTACCTTCGTCTTCCACCATAATTCAAAATTAATGCTGCGTTCCCACTGACTTTATTTTGCTACCTTCAATGTAGGAAGTCGATCAGGATGCTGACATCCTTTTGATAAAGTAAAACTCTAGCAAGCTTAAAAACTTAACAGTATTCTTCTCCGGGCTAAATTCCCTTTTTTTTAAAGACTGTGCGCAGAATTCTAGATATGTAGCATGCATGCCGTGTGTGTTATATATATATATATATATATATATATATATATATATATATATATATATATATATATATATATATATATATATATATATATATATATATATAATATAGACGAGAAGAGACGGAGAGAAGAGAGAGAGAGAGAGAGAGAGAGTAAAAGCTTGTTCACTTAAGTGCGACAAGATGCCTTGCTTGTCCACCAAACTTTATATCCACTCATTTAACATAATAAAAAGTCACTGATATCAATGCGCAAGGATCCCTATGGAAATATCCAAGGGTGTTTTAAAAAAGTTATTGCGTGGATTTCCACTTAAGTGGCACTACAAGGTTTCTGGTCTATATTATATATATATATATATAGAGCAAGACTCCTATCAACTTAAGTGGATAGGGAATAGTTGTCCACCAAACTTTTTAGCCACTCATTTATTAATATAAAAAGTCTCTTCATATCATGCAAGGATCCCTAGGCAAGATCCATGGATAAAAAGTTTGGTGGACAACTATTTCCTATCCACTTAAGTTGACACAAGTTTTCACCTATATATATATATATATATATATATATGGAGAGGTTCAAATAAAAACCTTACTATCCTAAAAACTAAAAACCAATCCTCTCCATTGGATCTGGATTCATCCAATGGCTGAGATTAAATCTGCATAAGGATAATCAGGTAAAATAAACAGCCCCTAAAGAGAGGTAATTAATGATTGTCTACTGAGTTCTCCATTTGCTCATGCAATCTCACGGATCAGGCAACCCAACAGTCACGAACAGCAGTCCTCTCACTCCACAACCAGCATCTTTCGTTCATTGGCCTTCAGCTCTTTCTCCACAACGAGCTTCATCGTCCTTCAGGTTTCTCGTTCATCTATCCTTCAGCTCTCTCGTTCATCTGTCCTTCAACGTATTTGAGCTCTCTCGTTCATCGTCAATTATCTGGCCATTCTTAAACATTTTATGAAGATTTAAATGGAGAGCTTGAATTCAGGTGAGCAGGTTCATGCTTGTTTTCATTGTAATCGATCCAGATTCAGTATTTCAATACTTAGTCATATGACTTATTATATAGGATTTTACATTCTTAAATACTTTTTGGAGATTTAAATGGAGAGCTTGAATTCAATTGAACACGTTCTATTTGTTAATCTAGATTCACTGCATTGAATCGAGATTCATTGTTATAGAATGCAGTGATTTTCATAATTTATTCATTTGTTTATTGTAGTGAATCTGGATTCAATGCAGTGAATCGAGATTCACTCCAGATTAATTAGCAATAACATGCATTCAATGCAGTGAATCAAGATTCACTCCAGTTAATCAAGATTCACTCAATTGAATCGAAATTCACTCTAGTGAATCTAGATTCATTGTAATGGATCCAGATTCAGTATATCAAAACTTAGTCATATGACTTATTATCTACGAGTTTACATTCATAAACATTTTATGTAAATTTAGTTGGAGAGCTTGAATTCAGTTGAACACGTTCTAGTTGTTAGATTATGCAGTGATTTTCATAATGTATTCACATGTTTAATATAGTGAATCTGGATTCAATGCATTGAATCCAGATTCACTACAGTAAACATGTGAATACATTATGAAAATCACTGAATACTCTAACAACTAGAACGTGTTCAACTGAATTCACATCTTTACTGTAGTGAATCTGGATTCAATGCAGTGAATCGAGATTCACTCAAGTAAAACCAGATCAATTGTAATGAATCCAGATTCAATATATCAAAACATAGCCATATGATTTATGTTTTATTAACCAGATCAATTGTAATGAATCCAGATTCAATATATCAAAACATAGCCATATGATTTATGTTTTATTTTCAGTTGTAGGCAGCAATGAACAAATAAATTTATGTTTTATTTTCAGTTGTAGGCAGCAATGAACAAATAAAGGAACCACATGTTATAAATGTATCGGGCAGTGATTTTGGGGAAGATGGAATGGACGAAGTTAGCTCGATTCCTTTTTAATCACCAGGTGGTGGTATGTATTGGAAACCTCGGGTTGAAGCTGAATTTAAACCTTATATAAACCAAAGCTTCCGATCACTAGAGGATGGTATAGAGTTTTACCGAGATTATGGACGTAAAAGTGGGTTTGAGATCAGACATCATACAGAGAAGAAACATGAGGACAGTACAGTTCTCCTTAAACACATTGTTTGCAGTAGAGCTGGTAGCAATGAATCAAAATGGATGTTGATTATGAGGATTTCAGTAGCAGTTCGAAAAAGAGAAGGAGAACTGTATCTAGTAGATGTGGTTGTAAAGCTAAAGTCGTTTTTAAGTTTGATGGTTTGAAAGGATATAATGTTCTCTCCTTTGTTGAAGAGCATTCTCATTTTTTGGTCTCCGGTAGTGGGAAATAATTTTTGAAGTCAAATAGAGTTTTCGGTCTCGCACATAAGAAACTTGTATTTGATGGAGCAAAAGCCAACATGGGGCCTAACAAAACATATAACTTTGCTAAGGAGTTGTGTGGAAGTTATTCTAATATTGGTGCAACGTGTACCGAGTTTAAAAATTGGAGTAGGGATGTGAAGCTTTATATTGGTGATCGAGATGCTCAAATGATCATCGAGAAGTTCACGGATAAGAAGGAGATGAGTGATGGATTTTTCTATGATTATGCAGTCGATGAAGGGGGTCGATTAACTCGCATCTTTTGGGCAGATGTTATTGGACGAAGAAATTACGATGTATTTGGAGATGTGATATCATTTGACTCTACATATTCCACAAACAAGTAAGATTTTATAGCTAATCTCTTACGATTTTTAATATTATAATTATATGTAATAGTGAATCTTATATTTTTTGTATGTGATACAATAGGTACAACATGAAGTTTGTTCCATTTACTGGTCTCGACAATTATAAGAAGTGTGTTGTATTTGCAGCAGGATTGATAGCTAAAGAGGACATTGATAACTATATCTGGATTTTTGAGGTATTCATGAAATGCATGATTCGCGAGCCAAAGTGTATTGTTACAGATCAGTGCCCTGCCATGAAGCAAGCTATACCAACCGTCTTTACAGAAGCACGTCACCGTTTGTGCATGTGGCACATCATGAAGAAATTTAACCAAAAGGTAATGAATCCCACATATAAATATAATGAATCCTCATTAGATAAATACTGAATCTTTCGTTATATATTTATATTGTAGTTGGCAAAATGCATTTCGAAGATGGATGATTTCAAGAGGAAGATCAATGCACTGATTTGGAGTGTAGATATAGATCCAGCAACATTTGAAGTAGGTTGGAAAGATGTTATGAAAGAATATAAGCTTGAAAGTAATGAATGGTTGTGTGAACTGTATAACATTCGGGAGTCATGGATTCCAGCCTATTATGCTGATGATCCAATGGCTGGTTTATTGCGTACTACATCAATATCAGAGAGTGAGAACAGTTTCTTTGACAAATTCAACCGTAGATCTGACACATTGATAGAATTTTATCTCCGATACGAGAGTGCTATGGAGAAGCAAAGGCATACAAATGCAAGATTAAACTATGAAGGAACAAAGTCGATGCCAAGAATGGACACATTGGAGAGGGATGCAGCAGAGTTGTACACTCGAACAATGTTTTATGAAGTACAGAAAGAGATTATGTCATCCTGTTATGATATGAGCATCAACAGTATATCAGAAGAAGATGGTGTGAAGATTTTTTCCTTAAAAGACAAAAAGAGACATGGAAAAATATTTGAGGTAAAACTTAATAATGGAGATTGAAACAATAAAAATTGAACCTAGATTCAATGCAGTGAATCGCGATTCAGTAGTAGTGAATCGCGATTCACACCACTGAATCGAGATTCAGTGACCATTTCATTCGCTTGTCATTTTTTTTATTCGGTGCTAATATACATTGTTTTTTGAATTTTAGGTGAAACATGCTTATTTGAACAATGACGTGCAATGTACGTGTAGGCTGTTTGAGAAAATGGGTATAGTATGTACACATGGTTTTTTTACACTGAACCAAGCTGATGTAACAAAAATACCAAGACATCTTGTTGTGAACCGATGGACAAAAGGTGCTGAGATGAGGCATTCATTGCAGTTCAAGGAAATATCAGAACAGTGCAATGCAATTGAAGTTACAAATCGCAAGTTGAATGACATATGGTATGATTTCCAATCCTGTGTGAGTTTGACAGGTTTAGATGGTGAGAGACTTAACTACCTGGAAGGGAAGTTGAAGGAGTTGAAGCACAGTTTGCGTGAATCTAGTTGGAAATCTGACACACAGAACAAAAATGATGTAATGAAGTTTTTTGTTGGCTCAAAAATACCAGCAGAAGTTATCGTTAAACCTCCCATTGAAGGTAGAAACAAGGGGTGTGGACGGAGAATTGTTGGTGATGATGAGAAATCAATTAGTCAACGAAAGAAGAAGGTTCCAAGGCTGTGTAATATGTGCAAAAAAATCGATTTCCATGACGCACGGACATGCCCATTAAAGAAAATAATACAGCAGAGTGATGTTTAATTTAGTTGTCATATTTCATTTCAAAATCATGTTTAGAAATATATTTCTTATTAAAAATTGCTGAGTTGTGTAATTCTTAACTACGTATATTTACTAGATTATTAATTACATGGTTACGTTGTGTCATGTTAGTATATTGAATTGAGATCTACTCATATAGCATGTGAATTCTATTATTATTAGTTGTATTATTTCAAAAGGAATGATAAAGTAGTTGTATGCAGTCGTCAGTTTAAATTTTATTCGCTTTAAGTGATTCTGGACTAACTATATTGAATCTGGATTCATTGTAGATCTAGATTCACTGTTATTGAATCTCCAACAATCAAATTATTTGATTGTTTCGGTTTAAGTTATTCTGGATTAACTATAATGAATATAAATTTATTTTAGTGAATCTGGATTCACTGAACTGAATATGGATTCACTATAGTGAATCTATTTTCAATTAAATAAATTACTGAATCACTTAAGATAATATTGACTTACTGAATTTTTCAGTGTAGTGAATTGAGATTCACTGCATTGAATCTAGATTCAGTATAGTGAATCTAGTTTCAATCAAATAAATTAGTAATAACTTAAGATAATATTAAAACAGTGATTCCAGATTAAATACATACAATCCACAATAAGTATGATTAATTTATTTTATGTTACATAAAACCTTGAATTAAAAATCAATTTCTCTGCTTAAATCGAAATTCTTCCAATTGCATTGAATACCTTCACAGTATTTTCATATATCCAAACTATTCACAAATCTAGATATAAAATTATGACAAAGCTATTCTTATAAAGTATATTTACATAGAAAAGCAGTTCAACACAAACTGGAGTATTCTATAACATTAAGTGACAATGTACTCAATAACAGTAAACTTCAACATTGTAAATTATGGTGATTACAGAATATCATTTTCTTTGAGATCTTGTGGTCTTCCTTGTCTCTTTTTTGACATTGGCAGTTTCAGCATGGTGCTGTTGGGCTTTGCTGATGACTTCTTTGGCCAATTCATTTGTTGGTTCAGTAAGAATTTGGCAATAATATATAGACCTCAGTCTATGTAGCTGATTTTTTAATCGCTCCTGTCGATATGAACAAAAGTTCAGTTCAAGATTCAGTAGCTATATTCTAAATTTTATATGTAAATGAAAAAGACTAACTGTAAATCTTATTAGATTCAGTAGCTATATTCTAAACACTTACACCCTCTCTATGAAAACTAGAATTCCAATTTGATGTACCACCGCCCATGTATGTCTCCATACGTCTCATGACAAAAATACCACAATCAAATTTGTTTTTTGTTGTTCTTCACTCCATCTCAAGTCTATCAGGCGTTAATATATTTATTTCACTCGCCTTGTGATATTTTTTGTGTGCCAAATATCTCACAAAATTCTGGTGCTGTTTAATCAAAAGTAATCAGTGTCACATAACAAATCCAATTTATTATAAAGTAATGTTTAATGTAATATACAAATTGTTTTAGTTGTTTATATGGAAACAATATTAATGATAGTGAATCACAATTCATTGCATTTATCTCGCTAGGATTTAATAGAGTTAGTTCACCTGGACTCACTCTAATGAATCTGGATTCACACTAGTGATTCTGGATTCACTAGAATTAGCTATAGCTAGTGGATCGTGATTATGTGATGTTCACACAGATTCACTAGCTCTATTGAATTGAGATTCATAGTAAGATGTGAATCCAGGTTCACTAACTCTATTGATCGAGATTTCAGATCAATAGTTATAGCTAGTGGATCGTGTTTACGTGATGTGAAAACAGATTCACTAGCTCTAGTGAATCGTGATTCATATTAAGATGTGAATCCAGATTCACTAACTCTAGTGATCGAGATTTACTAGAGTTAGTAAATCTGTTATTCTCTGACTCTACTGAATCCGGATTCACTTTAGTGAATACAGATTCACTTTAGTGAATCCAGATTCACTTAGTGAATCCAGATTCACTTTAGTGAATCCAGATTCACTTTAGTCAATCCAGATTCACTTATTACTGTATTCTACCAGTAAATCTTTAAAGAACATACGTAAGGTGGAAAAACATACCAAGCCCTCAGGACGACCTTGGTATTTTTCCTTGTAGTCTGGACAGTTTTTGCTATTGTCAATCAGCTCCATACTTGGATTCTTTAGCCCATAGCACACAATGTAGAAATGCTCAAACGCATTTATGGGGAAGAAGACCTAATGGTTGTGAAATTTAATCAGAGATTTTACAGATATAGTTACAATTGGGTTAAAGAACAAAAACATGGTCTTCGATTCTTTACCATATCAATCTCATTAAACTTCATATATGGATACAGAGCAAGTTGCTCATCCATACGGGAAGCAAACTGACTGTATCTCAATTCATCATTGGCCTCATCTGTGTGATGAATGTTGCAAAACTGTACAACATAAAACTGGTTAAATAAGATGTAACTCAAGTGTTATTTTAAATAAAATAAAGGAAGATACGTACGGTTGTCTCAACATTGCAGAAGAATCTAAGTGGAGAATTTTTAGACTTTATTTTTTCTCTGCTGTTCAAAATATAGGACCAAATGCTGATTAAATTTGCCTCAATGTCCTCAGAAGGAAGGAAAGTCTTGAAAGCAGGTAAGAAACATTCAATTTGTCTCCACTTAAAAACCATTTCACTGAAAAAACAGTAACAATATTCAATTTAATAAAGTGACAAAATACTAAAAACAGTGAGTCTCACACCTAAAAATAAAATATCAAATAAGATTTAAGAACTCACAAATTCTCTTCTTCAGCAAAATCATCTCCTGAATGTCTTGCTTCTTCTCTATGTACCCAATTCCATATGATGCTTTCTAGCTGACTTTGCCTAGCAGTAATCTGAGATACCCTCTGCACCCATGGTGACCGAAGAGACGTTGCAGGCTTCACCATCCTTTTTTCTTTCCCCCTTCCCGCATGTCCCTTATTTTCGGTCACCTGAACTTTCTTACCTTTACATTCATCTACTGCAGCAGCATCTTCAGCTTCTTTATCAGTTCTTTGTACAGATTCTTCAATGATTTCAGATTCACAAGCTTTAGCAATCTGAACAATATCAACCATTTCCACTGTCTCAGTCTGAGTATCCTGTGTCAGCCCAAGAGAAAAACTAGGTTCTTCAGTCTGTGGGGTACCACATTCGTTGAGGTTCCGCCTCACTAGTCTGTCAACCTTTTTCATGCTAACAGACTCTATAATCTTATCAACTTCTTGAATAAACTTTGGGGAGACTTGTGTTTGTGGTATCTCAGCTGATATTGGATCAACAGCAGGGGAACCATGCATATCTCTACTCACCTTGGTGTTCATATTAGGGGTATCATCAACAATATTTCCCACAGCTGTTTCATCATCACAGGTACTTACACGATGTCCACACTCCTGCACAAGAACATTTGAAACTCTTTGTTGAATTTGAAAGAGCTCATTGTCATTGGGGAACAGCTTTCTCATTGTCTCATACTCAGCATCATATCTATCTTTTGCAGCTTCCAACTCTGCAGCTCTCCGTTGAACCCTCTCAATACAATCCTGCAGTTTTAATATCACAGACATTGGTCACCATAAATTATTAACATGGCGAGAGACAAGATTCGATAGTTTGAGATTACATTCAATGTATTTGTATCAAGATTCAAATGACTGAATCCAGAGTCGACTAAAATAATTCCAGATTCACTTTAGTGAATCGAGATTCAGTAGTAGTGAATCCAGATTCACTTCAGTAAATTGATATTAGGTATCATTGAATCCAGATTCACTTAAGTGAATCGGAATTCAGTTTAACTTAATCGATAATCACTGATCTGAAACGAGATTCATTACTAGTAAAACGATTCATTGTACTGAATCGACATTCATTTTAAGTGAATCGAGATTCACTCCTACTGAATTGAGATTAAATTGAATAAACAAAGACTTGCAACTTAATTTGCTAACCTTTCTAATTGTATCAACACTTTTAGGCGAGTTTCCAGTAGCAATCTGCATTCGAGATGAAGGTGCAAGTTCAACCCTCTCTATAAATGCACCTTTGCCAAATGAATTTGTACTTATTTCCTCTGACTATCTTTCCTTCAAGGCCAAGTCAGTCCAGCCTAAAAATATAGGTGTTGTTCTCTCAACCAACCTCCTCCCTTTGAACAGAACCCGATCGGCATAGAACAGCTACAAAGATGGAGATAAGAAATAAAGCACATCAATTAGAATTAATCAACAAGTAAAACTACTTTAACTACAGTAATGTAAAAATAAATCAATATTATACAAGTGACTTACAATCAAGAATGCAAGAGGACCCGTATAGAATTGTTTTGTCGGGTCAACCTTCCACTTGTGTTGGCTTTCTATCATTGAGTCAAGCAAGAAAGAACACCAATTGTATTCAGAGCACTGGAACACCAATTGTATTCAGAGCACTGATCAACATTGTCACCAAGAACTAGAATCCGTTGGTTGACATACGGATTGCTAAGCGACTGGATCATGCTGTTGTGAAAGAGAACCAAGAAATTGAGTTTAAAAAACAGGTTAACATCAGAACTCTGCTTCAGTTTCTCAGACACAGCCCCTGGAGTAATTTTCCAACCAAATCTGTTTGTGAATTGAGCCCTCCATTCATCCACCAAAGCTGACTTCCTAATACTGGAGGCTGGTATACGCTTCCTGCCCAGAGGTAATCCCATCACTTGATGTACATCTTCCTCTGTGATACTTATTGATCCTCTAGGAAGATTAAGCGCAACGGATTCACTGTCAAAGGACTGCAGAATCTGGTACCCCAACATATGTGGCAGTTCTTTTAATTCAAATTGTAAAATACCTCCAAGTCCAGCTAGTCTCACCCATTCTTTTTGGGAGTCAGAGAGTGACAAAATCATATCAGAGAATATCTTTGGAGAGACCCGTATCCTAGTCAACTCCTTAGGTTCAGACCTCACATTTTTTTTTTTCAAAAACTTCTCCAGTGAAAAAAAATATAATTAGATAGAATTATCCATCAGTTAATACAAAAAAAAATAAAGATGTTTAGTACACCAACCTTTTTTTTCTTCTTCCTTTCTTTTGTGATCTGTTCATTGTCTTCATCCCTCCTATGCTTTGATGTTTCATCACTGGCAGGATTATTTGGGGAGTTGACGAGGTCATCATCACTGTTGGACCTCACATGTTTTTTTTTCACAACCTTCATCAGTGAGAAAAATAATATAATTAGATCAAATTATCCATCATTGAATACATTTTTTTTCACAACCTTCATCAGTGAGAAAAATAATATAATTAGATCAAATTATCCATCATTGAATACACAAAAAAAAAATAAAGATGTTTAGTACACCAAGATGTTTACTGTAGTGAATCTCGATTCAATGCAGTGAATCGAGATTCGCTCAAGTGAAAAGAGATGTTTAGTACACCAACCCTTTTCGTCTTTATCCTTTTTGGGGTCTGTTCATTGTCTTCATCCCTTGTACGCTTTGATGTTTCCTCACCGACA